AGGGGGAATCAACTGATTTCAGTTGTAAAGTTTAAATAAAATTGTTTACTTCATTATAACATACTATTACTCCAAAAAGTTATAGCATTAAAAATGTAAAACATAATTTTCATATGTTTCTCCCTCCAGGGGTAGCAACAGCTTTGTCAAGGAGCTGACGATGCGTGGCCACTCTAATTTTGTGTCCAGCTTGTGCGTGATGCCTCCAGATGATTCATATCCCCAGGGGCTCATCATCACTGGCAGCAATGATAAGACCATTTTGGCATACAGTCCTGGGGTTCCAGAACCTGTGTTCAAGTTGACTGGCCATACGGGGAATGGTAATTTGATGTTTGACTTCGATTGGCATTGGAGTCTAGAAATGACATTTGTTTTCCTCGTCAGTCTTAATAATTTATAATAAATTGTCTCTTTTGTGAAATTGTAAAGGGCGGAAATAAAATGAAAATGCTGTGAATATTTTGACCTGATTAAATGTTAATTTTGATGGCATGTCATCAGATGAGAGATTCTCGTTCTTTTGTACATATTATATTCAATATCTTTGACACTCACTTTTGATACTTTACTATTTTAAGGACTGCCTTCAAGGTTTATTTATGAAAACAAAACACTTACATAAACCAGATTGTTCTGCCAAAGTTTAAAACCATAATCTACACATTTTTTTTTCTTAACTTGAAAAATTAATTGGAAAGTGTAACCCCTAGTAAATGCTTAAAATATAATTTATAGTGTTACAGTGTTATGTAATAACTATCATTTTCCTGTTTCGTGTTCACAGCCTGTCTTACCTAAGCTTATTTCTTTCGTCTAATTCTGTTCTCTTCCATTTGAAAATTTTTTTTGGCTTGTCTTATAATTTTCGTCATTTTGAATGCTCACAGTGTGTGCTTTAGCCTCCGGCAAGTTTGGCTTCTTGCTCAGTGGCTCCTGGGACATGACAGCCAGAGTGTGGCTCAACCAGAAGTGTGTCATGGTCCTTGAAGGTGAGTGGGCTGTCGAGTGATTTACATTTATCCCTTTGGTGTTCCATTATGCCCTGTGCTCGTTGATTGTAACTAGTTATATAGTGACAGTATTGTTGGTTTAGTTTTGCAAAGAGGTGTAGGGTGCTGTTAGTACAGTTTGTATCATATTGTACAGGACCAGGGTGCAGGGTGGTCATGCTTTAGATTCCCAACTAGTTGTTTATGAACGTTTGTTGTTTTGGGAGTTTTCATGGCTTTCTGTCCCATTTATTAGTACTTACTATCTGAAATACATATATGCTTCCTCTTAAATAGATTACTATATTGAAAGAGCTTTTGAACCCATACCATGCTGTACTTCTCAAAGAGGATGAAAAGCATACAGAATACAGTTAAAATTGTCCAAGATGGCCACCCGTTGCTGAGGAGAAATGGGGTTGTCTTCGACATTTGGACATCTCAGACACTGTTAGTATAATGTTGGGAAAAAAAAATCACATGG